TGTGCTGATTTTCAACCACGAGTTTTAATTCCCCACAACTACAATTGGGAATAACTTCGTAGTTCATGAGTTCATCCAAAAGAGTTTTGAGTTTGGAGAAATAAACACTCACAGGATCCTGATTTTACAAGAATGTGGTTATGGCTTGTTTGATTTCGAAGATCCTAGGTACATTTTGTTGAGCAAAACGCTGCTCCAGCTTGATCCAAAGCTGATGTGCTGTCTTATCGTTGGTGGTGCTACATTTGATGTCAACAACAATGGCGTTTTTTTTTCAGGTAATCACGATATCGTTGCAGCATAGCCAATACTCCATGAGTGGATCATTGGGATCTACTGGTTCGCATATGCTTCCATCGATGAAGCCTAATTTGCTTTTGATCCATAATACCCTTTTCATAGATCATGCCCATGAGTAATAGTTGCTTGATGGAAAAATTGATAGATTCAATCCATATACTTAAACAAATCCTTTTCTCATATATAAACTTTATGATCATACTCCATGTTGAAATCAATGAGAACAATAAAACAAAAGTGGAAGCCTACCTTGATCCATAGATTTCTAATTCTTTGCTTGAACGTGTTAGATCTTCCAATTGATTGGTGATCTTCTCTTCAATTTTATTTTTTGTTGATGGGGATGCAAAGAATCTTAAGAACACCAACAAATGAGAACCATAACCATATAAAATAATAGTAGTAACTTAATAATCACTATCTTTCAGTTGCTTCAAATTGACCCATCATTAATTTAAAACAACACTTCGATAGAATACCAATAAATGGGGATCATAACCATATAAAAAAATAGTATTAACTGAATAATCACTATCTTTCAGTTCAAATTGGTCCACCATCAATTTAAAACAACTTTTTGGTCTCTACACTATAATTCCATAAAATCTAATATCCATTAGTCACAATACATCTTTATCGGATCACTTTAATTTACTAATATCTTTTAAACAATAGCACCACACATTTCAATACAAAACGTGTGGCCCCAAATATATTGAAATTATCTAACATTGCTGGCATCCAGTATATGAGTAACTAGCATGGCACCAGTGTTATCATTGCTTCTGATGAAATATGGGCTACTTAGTTGGGTGGGATCATGAGTAATGGTGTTTGGATTTTGATTTTGAATTTGGTTTGTGCTTGGATTTCCGACATTTTCATCTTGCATTTCTATCTCTAATACATTTCAATAAATATTGAATAAAAACATAGAATTTCAGTTGAGAATTTGGGAGAATGAATGGAAAGGAGGTTTTATTGATTGTGAAAATCATTACATTTCAGCTCCCTCTATCACTATATATATACACGACTTTCCTATACAAACAGAAAAATAAATGAATATTGTACACTGCCATCCTCATGTGGCAAAACAAGAATACAATTTGTAAAACAAAAAATTAGCTTCATGATCATTCTAGAGCATCCTTCTTCTATTGATGATACTACATCTCCTGTTGAGTGTGCTGCTGATTAGTACGATCTTCTAGCTTGGCAGCCTCCTTGGCTTCTAATACAATTGCTTTGATGAATTGATAAAGATAGATGTCAAATTCAAGAGAAAGAGGAGAAGAGAATTATATTCAATTCAACTATTAAGAAAAGAGGTATAGCAGCAACATAAATAGGCAAAGGAAAAATGGCGCGAAAACTAACTAATATTCTAACAAACAAACTAATTATCTAACTGAATTGAATCACATTAACAATCTTTATTTAGAGAGAAATCTAGAAGCATCTAGAATCTAACATTCCCCCCCTCAAGATGTACTATGAATATCCTTCACAGACATCTTGGACAGTAAGAATGCAAGGGTTGGAGCTGGAAGCAGCTTGGTGAAGACATCAGCAAGCTGGTGCT